GACGGCTCGTGAGCTCAGTAACAACTAAAAACAAGCTCGAGCTCGCGAGCTCGTAACACTTGAGTTCGAGTTCGAACTTTTTTCGAACCTGATCATCGAGCTCACGAGTCGGATCAGCTCATTTACCACCCCTACAACAAACCAATTTACTTAGTTGTTCCCACATTTATCTCCGACAATTAGACGTGAAAAGGTGGTTCTAACATTTGATTACGTTGTGCAAAGAAAAATGCAAGGAATATAGTAAGACTACCAAATGGTATCAACGACTATCTTACTTTGAACATTAAACCATTCTTCCGAATTGAATAATATCAACAGTTATATACGTTCTTATATCATATTGTTTTAAGGCGAATTTCTCATCAAGCAACAACTTAAGTATGCACAACCATCCATTCATTCTTATGTTTATAGCTTCAAGCCTTCAACAATACATTGAGTAAGTACAATCAGGAAAATCCATATTATCTTCATATGGATCCACCGCAAAAGGCTGAGAATATATCTTCGTCAGACGACTTTCCACCAGCTGTCCATGAAATCACTGTAAGATTTTATTGTTATTTATTATTACAGTATTGCATTACAAACAGAGGCCAATTGAGCTAACAAATATTCATACTAACAAATTTCATTTACTTCTTGGAAATATATCGTCCTTCAAAGATATATTTCACGATCGATGCACCCTAAAATAAGGGCAATTTTCTATGCACTCTTTAATTTCAACCAATTTTAGAAGTTCATTATCATCATTCAACCAATTTCAGAAGTTCGTTATCAATTCACAGCCATTTTCAGAACTAGACTGACAAATTTCAAAACTCAATTTATGTTAAAATACTTAATTTCAAAACTACAAATTAAATTTTGAAAAAGTCATTGTCATATTTTGTTAAAATACTCAGTTTTCAGAAGTTCGTTTTCATTTTTTATTGGTTTACTATCATATTAATCTAGTTTTTTGCGTGTGTGAGCGTATGTGCAATGATAACAAACTGTAAAGTCCGGTATAAAAAAAATGAAAATCTTACTTGTTAAACTATAATAATGTAAACATTACCATAACTAAAAACGAAAATATATTTAAAGCCTAGTCAAATTATTAACTTAAAATTCTAATAACAGTCCAATTGACATAATTGAAATTTTGACTTACCTACTGAAATTTAAACAATTTCAAATATTAACAGAAATAAGAAAAAAAATGTTTGTGTTTAGAGGCCTAAACATTGTCAAATTGCAAAACATTTAACATGTCTCCATGGCAAAGTTGTTTAATTATTTCTAATTCTTTGTTTCGCTTCAGATAGTATTGATTGCCATTAAATTATAATGATGTAATGTAATGACTAATGAAGGGTAAAATAGTAATAAGTATGTTTGGAAAATAGTCAAGGGATTGGGAATGGACATTTAGAAAAGAGAAGTATTACTTTATTTTCTTTCTTATATATCAATAGTAGTATATAATCTGTTAGTAAAGACGGCTAATAATTAGTGATATACTCTATTTTTCCTTTGTTAACGAAGAAACCGGCAACCAACTATATAGGTGGATTATATTTACACTCTAGTATTCTAGTATATATATACTCGAGCATGTGATAACTTTTTCACCAGAATATTTTTGAGTTTAATGGATATAGTACCCCTATATTATATCAAATTACTAACATATTTCATTGGTTATATATATTAGCAAACAAATCCCTTATAATGCATCTTTTAGCATATACCACCCCTAAAAAGTACGCTTTTATGGATAGTATATATATATATATATATATATATATATATATATATATATATATATATATATATATATATATATATCCTATTTTCCAGTCTATTTTCTCTAAGGTTACATTACAAATAAGTCCATCAAAGATACTTATTCATAAAGGGGTCCAAACAAACAACTCTTTTACAAAAAAATTCACATATTGTCCAGAGGTGTGTAAAAGACTAAAATAGCCCCTCAAATATTAATATGCTCGAATTTCATCAGATAATTTAATTTAACCTCAATTTGACCCCAAATTTCACAAATTATTCAACTTTGACCCAAAACTCAATTCTGAGTACAGTTTCGCCCGTTGCCGCCGTTGACCGGCATTCTCCGGCGTTGACTTTTTTTTCTTTTTGTTTTCATGCTTCTGCCACCGTTGACCGGCGGTCAACGCCGATCTCCGGCGGCGTTTTTTTTTTTTTTTTTTGAATTTTTTTAACATATTTTGCCCCGTTTAAACAACAATATTGCTGCAGTTGACAGTAATATTAACTATATTACTGTTAAACACAGTAACTTTAACACAACAAAAGTCATTATTATTGTGTAATAGAGTAATATTAATATGTTGATCGTTTAACAAACATAATAAAAATCGAAAAGAATTAATAATGATGTGGTTGACAGTAATATTATTACTGTCATCCACAATAATATTACTGTAACAACAATAATATTACCGTCAACCGCAATAATATTATTGTGTTTACAGTAATATCACAATAGTAGACAATAATATTATTCAAGGTTGTAAAAAGCGGTAATCGGGTCCGAGTCGGTCAGGCACCGACTCACGATTAACCGGTGCGGCGGTGATTAATTGGTAATAAATCGGAAATAAATCGGTTTTTAAAATTTAATATAATATACTTGTAGATATTATTTATAAATACTCAAAACATAGATAAAAAATATTTAAACATAGTTATATCTCCATCATGTATATATTCTAATAACATAATAAAAGTTTAATAATAATAAGATCATAATACATAAATATCCTTATAAAATATAACTAAAAAGACAATTTTTTTTGAATTTACATACATTCTTGGCATACATCATTAGTTCTTTAACAATAATAATTAACATAAACAAAATAAAGCATAAACTCCTTTTTTTTTTTATTAAAATCCCAACTTTTATTTTGATTTATAAAAAAAATAAAAATAAAAAATAAATAAATAAATAAAAACCGATTTTTGACCGATTTTTTGCCGATTTTTGCCACCGAAGTTTGACCCGCCTTAAAGGTTTGACCGCCTCAGACCGCCTCAGACCGCCTCGGACCGCCTCAAACCGCCTCACAGGCAAAAAACCGATTTTTCAAACCTTTACACTAAAATCATAAAGGTTTTGAACCGACTCGGCCGAGGCGACCGATTAATCGGCCGCCTCAGCCGATTTTTAGAACACTGATATTATTACGTTAATCCGTCAACTACTCAAACAAAACGAAAAATCCAAAAAAACCATAATATTGATGTGGTTGAAAGTAATATTATTGCGTTAATCCGTCAACTACTCAAACAAAACGAAAAATCCAAAAAAACCATAATATTGATGTGGTTGAAAGTAATATTATTGTGTTTACATTTATTTTTACTGTCAACGACAGTTATATAATTGCGTTGACTTGTCAACGAATCAAACAATAAAAAACCAAATAAATAGTAATATTGTCGCTGGCTGTAATTGTACTGTCAATGATAGTACAATTACATAAATGTACTGTCAACGACAGTACAATTACATTAATGTACTGTCAACGACGGTACAATTACGGACAGAAAAAATCCAAAAAGCCAACACCGGAACCCGGCGGCAAAAAAATAATTTCAGAAAAAAAAAGGTTTTAAAAAAAGTCAAAATTGAATTTTTGTGGTCAAAATTGATTAAATTGGGGTTACATTTAAGAATTAGGTGTAAAGGGTTGGGGGTAATTTTGTCATATATATTAATTTTTCCTTCATTAATAATATATATTAAAGGGATGAGCTTATTGGCTAAAGATATATAATCCCTGAACCTAGAATAAGGAAGATAGTTGGTTAGGGACTTATGCACAATACCCCCTTTCTCTAATTCTTCTTTGCTTCCAGCAATTGATCATACGAGCACACATACAGGTAGGTAGGTAGTTTAAATCATCAATGAGCAAGAGCAGCGCCAGCTAATTAATCCACCACCTCGTCAACGAGCACTGCATGAGTACACCGTTCCAACACTCAATGGGTTTCAATCAAGCATCCAGCAGCCCCCCATTGAAGCCAACAATTTCGAAATTCGAGCGGGACTCCTCACGATGCTCCAAAACAATGGTTTATTCAGCGGATTGGCTCATGAAGATCCACACCTCCACTTAGTCAACTTTCTCGAAACGTGTGACTCGCACAAGATGAACGGAGTATCACCCGAAGCACTGCAACTCCGCCTGTTCAAGCACTCCTTACAAGGTGCAGCCCGAGAATGGTTACAAACTCGCGCACCGCACTCCATCTCGTCTTGGGCCCAGCTAGCACAACTTTTCATGAACACATACAACTCCCCAACAAAAACTGAGAGAATCCGGAGAGAAATTCAAAATTTCATACAAGAAGCCGATGAAGCATTATTCGAAACGTGGGAGCGGTTTAAACAGTTAGTAAGGAGGTGCCCAATGCACGGACTGCAAGAGTGGCGCTAACTACAAATATTTTACGATGGATTGCAAGACAACTCGAGAACCGTGCTCGACTCTGCAGCTGGAGGTATGTTCATGAGTTTGACCTACGATGAAGCATACAAACTCTTGGAGCGAATCGCTAGAAATAAATACATGCGGGCATCGGATAGGTCGAATAGCGGAGCAGTCAAGACGGGAGGAATTTTGGAGTTAGACGGAGTGACTGCAATCACGACCCAATTGGAGAAGCTATCGAAGCAAGTAGCGGCTTTGCAGACTCAGCAAGTCCATCCAGTCCAAGCTCCCGATCAAGGCGTAGACGAAACGGAGTCGCTGAATTATGTGCATGACGCCAACCGACAACAGAGGAACCCGTACTCCAACACGTATAATCCGGGATGGAAGGATCACCCTAATTTTGGGTGGGGAGGAAATCAACAAGGACAAAGGCAAGCACCCCATCAAGGCCAACCGCCTAATTATTCACGACCAGCGCCCGGATTCCAAAATCCACCTCAAGCACCACCTAAAGGCGGAGACCTCGCAAATATCTTGGCCCAATTTATGACGACCACCCAAGCTTCCATTCGAAATTTGGAAATACAGATGGGCCAATTTGCGACCCAATTGAACGTGAGGCCAGCCGGTACACTACCGTCAAATACGGAAGACCCTCGAAAGGGCACCAACGAGCAATGCAAAGCCGTCAGTTTGAGGAATGGAAGACAACTAGAAGAAGTGGCGAAGAAGGCAACAAGCAAGGATGGGGAGGAGCAACAAGAAAAAGAAGCGGAGACTCTGACAGATCCACCAGGTGAGAAAAGGGTCGTTGCGCCTAAGCCGACTCCTCAGGTACCTTATCCTCAACGCCAGATAAAGGCGAAAAATGAGTCGTATTACAAAAGTTTTCTTGAGCAATTGAATAAATTACATATTAATATTCCTTTTACTCGAGCACTTGAACTAATGCCTCATTGGGTGAAATTTTTGAAAGACATGGTATCAAAGAAACGGAAATTCGGTGAACATGAGATGATATCTTTAACCGAACAATGCAGTGCCATTCTTACTCGCCCAATTCCACCAAAGCTTGGAGACCCGGGTAAGTTTACGATTCCAGTCGCTATCGGAGGTAAGTTCTTTGCAAAATCTCTCATAGATTTAGGTGCGAGCATTAATCTCATGCCTTTCTCAGTTTTTCAAAGTTTGGGATTAGGAGATATAAAATTGGTATCTGTGACTTTACAGTTAGCCGATAGATCACTCATATACCCAAAAGGAATAGTAGAGGATGTGTTAGTTAAAGTAGATAAATTCATCTTTCCTGCAGATTTTGTAGTTCTTGATATGGAAGAAGATAAAGAAATTCCCTTGATTTTGGGAAGACCTTTTTTGAGAACGGGTAGAACTATAATTGATGTGTATAAGGGAATTTTATCTATGTCTTTGGGGGATGAAACGATTAAATTTGATGTTTTTCGTACAATGAAACACCCTCAAGAGGTTGATGAATGCTTTGCTTTTGATGTGTTAGATCAATTGAATTTTGATTTTGTTGAACCTTTAATTGCGGATCCGTTGGAAGCATCTATGAGTGTAGGAACATCAGTTGAAGAAGAAGAAGTGACAGAACAATTATGTTGGTTGGATTCGGCAAAGCCGCTGTCAAGACCACGCTTTGAGAGTTTGGAGACGGAGATCCCGTTATCTGTCACTTTTAAGCCTTCAGTGATCGAACCTCCGAAACTTGAGCTTAAAGTTTCACCATCTCATTTAAAATATATGTATCTAAGGATCCCGTAAAAACTTCTTTCGAGGAATGGGCCATGGAGCTCATGAGACCTTACCTGTTATTATTTCTTCATATTTGACAGGTCTACAGGAAAAGAGACTTTTGGAGGTCTTGCGAGAGCAGAAGCTAGCACTTGGATGGACAATTGCCGACATCAAGGGCATAAGTCCAACTTTTTGCACGCACAAGATCATATTGGAGGAGAGCCATAAATCTTCGGTGGAACAACAAAGGCGATTGAACCCCATCATGAAGGAAGTTGTGAAGAAAGAAATCATCAAGTGGCTAGACGCAGGTATTATTTTTCCTATTTTTGATAGTGCGTGGGTTAGTCCGGTACAATGTGTACCCAAGAAGGGGGGAATGACTGTTATAAAAAACGAAAAATATGAATTAATCCCTTCTAGGACAGTAACGGGTTGGCGAATTTGCATGGATTATAGAAAATTAAATAAAGCCACTCGAAAAGATCACTTCCCGTTGCCCTTTATTGATCAAATGCTTGATAGGCTAGCTTGTCAAGAATTTTATTGCTTTTTAGATGGGTATTCCGGTTATAACCAAATTGCCATAGCTCCCGAGGATCAAGACAAAACCACTTTTACTTGTCCTTTTGGTACCTTTGCTTTTAGACGTATGCCTTTTGGTTTATGCAATGCTTCTGCTACTTTTCAACGTTGTATGATGGCAATTTTTACGGACATGGTTCAATGTGGTCTTGAAATTTTTATGGATGATTTTTCTGTCTTCGGTGATACGTCTGACACTTGTCTCCAAATACTGGCTAAGGTTCTTCGCAGGTGTGAAGAGACAAATTTGGTGCTCAACTGGGAAAAGTGCCACTTTATGGTGCAAGAGGGGATCGTGCTAGGACACAAGGTGTCAAAGAAGAGGTTAGAAGTCGATCGAGCAAAAATCGAGACAATCGAGAAACTACCGCCACCAATTTCCGTAAAGGGGATTCGAAGTTTCTTGGGACATGCGGGATTCTATAGGCGGTTCATCAAGGATTTCTCCAAGGTAGCCAAACCATTGTGCAATTTGTTGGAGAAGGACGTCAAATTCGATTTCAATGACGAATGCCTCAAAGCCTTCGACGACTTGAAAACAAGGTTAGTAACTGACCCTATTATTGTTGTGCCCGATTGGAATGAACCTTTTGAGCTTATGTGTGATGCCAGCGATTTTGCGGTAGGTGCCGTGTTGGGTCAAAGAAAGAATAAAAATTTTCATTCAATTTACTATGCTAGTAAAACTCTAAACGATGCACAATTGAATTATACCACCACTGAAAAAGAGTTGCTAGCAGTTGTTTTTGCATTCGAAAAATTTAGATCATATCTTATAGGCACTAAAGTCAATGTCTTCACGGATCACTCGGCTTTAAAATATTTGATAGAAAAGAAAGAGGCAAAACCTAGACTTATTAGGTGGGTGTTATTGTTGCAAGAGTTCGATTTGGAAATTCGTGACCGTAAGGGTAGCGAGAACCAAGTAGCCGATCATTTATCTAGGCTAGAAACGGAAGTCAAAGATCCAATTTGCATTAATGAAAATTTTCCGGATGAACAATTGCTTGTCATTAGTAATCAAGAAGTACCATGGTATGCGGATTTTGTGAATTATTTAGTTAGCCATGTACTTCCACCCGAGCTCACTTTTCATCAACGAAAAAAGTTTTTACACGATGTGAATTTCTACTTTAGGGAAGAACCCTTTTTGTTTAGACAATGCAGCGATTTAGTCATTCGAAGATGTGTACCGGAAAACGAGCAAGGAGATATACTCTTTCACTGCCATGGCTCGGATTATGCGGGGCATTATGGAGGTGAGCGCACGGCGAGAAAGGTGCTTCAATCAGGTTTCTTTTGGCCAACTTTGTTTAAAGATTGCTATAATTTTATTTCAAGTTGTGATAGATGCCAGCGAGTTGGTAATATTTCAAGGAGGCACGAACTCCCATTAAATACAATGATCGAAGTAGAGCCCTTTGATGTATGGGGGATAGATTTTATGGGGCCTTTTGTCCCATCATTCAATAACCTATACATCTTAGTGGCCGTCGATTATGTATCTAAATGGGTTGAGGCGGCCGCCTTTCCTACTAATGATTCTGCAGTGGTTTGTGCTTTCTTAAAAAGACAGATTTTCACTCGTTTTGGAACGCCACGAGCAATTATTAGTGATAGAGGCACTCACTTTTGCAATAAACAATTCGAAGCACTCTTGGCCAAGTATGGAGTAAAGCACAAGGTCGCATTGGCCTACCATCCTCAGACGAACGGGCAAGCCGAGGTCACGAATCGTGAAATCAAAAACATCCTCGAAAAGGTTGTGAGTCCTACCAGGAAAGATTGGTCGAGAAAATTAGATGATACACTTTGGGCATATCGTACAACTTACAAAACTCCACTTGGGATGACATCGTTTCGTTTGATTTATGGCAAGGCGTGTCATCTACCGGTTGAATTAGAGCATAATGCATTTTGGGCAATTAAAAAGCTGAATTTCGATATTGAAGCGTGCAAGGAGAAACGAATGCTGCAACTCAACGAGCTCGATGAATTGAGATTGAATGCATATGAAAGCAATCGTGTGTACAAGGAGAAAACCAAGCGTTGGCACGATAAAAAGATATTGCATCGAGAATTTCAAAAGGGGCAATTGGTTCTCCTCTACAACTCCCGTCTAAAGTTGTTTCCGGGAAAACTCAAGTCAAGATGGTCCGGACCGTTTACTATCCTCGACGTATTTCCTCACGGCGCAGTCGAATTATTGGATCCCGAAACCGAAAAATCGTTCAAAGTCAATGGGCAATGCCTCAAGCATTATTGTGGAGGGGAATTCAATCGCCAAGTGACTTCGGTCACGTTAGCTTGAACAAAGAAGCAGACAAAGTCCGACTGAAGACTGTAAACTTAGCGCTTCTCGGGAGGCAACCCGAGATTTCGTTTTTCCTTTCTTTTATTTTATTTTATTTTAATTTTTGTTTATTTTGTTGGTTTTTAGTTTTATTTTATTTTAAATAAAAAAAAATAAAAAAAAGGTTTCAGGGGCACTAATAAGAAGTTTTTATTTTTCAGGGCCTTAATTGCAATTTCTGCAACTATTCACACGGCCGTGCAAGAAAAAGGGAAGAAATCTCACACGGCCGTGTGAGATTTTCAATGAGCTACTGGACAAAATCGTGAAATGGCACGGCCGTGCAAAAAAGAACTGGAATCTCGCACGGCCGTCCGAGAAACGGAGGAAGCTACCGCCCAAAATCGTCAAATGGCGCGGCCATGCGGAATTTAGACTTAATTCTCGGACGGCCGTCCGAGAAACAGTAGCCTACTGCCAGAATTTGTAATTTCGCACGGCCGTCCGAAAAAGAGTGCAAATACTCGCACGGCCGTGCGAGTCAAAAAACCGGGCTTATTTCAGAAGGGATTTTCACATCCCAATTTTCATAATTCCCAATTCTGCCTCTCCCCCACTTCGAACCCTCACCTTCCTCTTTCAAAAATTTCACTTTTCTTTGACAAATTTCACCAGAAATTCACCAACTAAACCCAGATACTACTTAATCTTGGTGGTTTCTTGTTGATTTGCGCAGGGAGGATTCAAGCAAGGTGCAAATTTCTCCACAAACCCATTCCACCAAGAACGCCCACAAGGTGTTCGACGAATTGCCCAAGTTAAGTTTGGGGGAAATTTTGCACATCAATTCACTCCTAATCCCTTCCACACGCATTCTCAAGTCATGGGGAAATGAGGACGTGACGGGGAGGGCACTTCACAAGGCGAAGGCACTTCAAAAGGCAAGGGGAAGGGGCTTTTGCACATCAATTCACTCCTAATCCCTTCCACACGCATTCTCACGACGCTTTTTGTGTCGAAGGCACCAGTGCTCGCTTTGAGAAGCAAAAAGTGAAGAAACTAGTGACGGAGCGTGCATATGAGATCACCCTTCCACAATTTGCCCCGTTACATCAAGAATTCATACGACGAGGGTGGCAAGCATTATTGGAACCGGAGGGGTCGATCAACTTATCATTGGTACGCGAGTTCTACGCCAACACCCGTATCCTCCTAACAACGGATCGGAAGTCGAGCACGGTTCGAGGAAAGCGTGTCGATTGGTGTGCCCAAGCCATCAACTCCTATTATCACCTCCGACATGCGCCATTCAATTGGGAGCAAATGCAACGTGTGGTCACAAGAGATCAACTCGCCGAGGTGTTGTGCGATGGACCCCCAATTTGGTCCGAACTCTCAACCGACGAGGCATACGAGTTAGAGTGGAAATGCATCCACCAAGTAGGCAAGGCGTGCCTTACTTTCATATGTGCCAACCTCATTCCCACCCGCTCGTGGACTCACGTGGACTCCGAACGGTGTGCTCTTGCCTACTAATTTCTAAAGGGCACACCGATCAATATTGGCGAAATTATATGCGACCGATTTTGGACCACCATGGTCAACAACTCCAAAGGGTTTTATTTCCCTTGCCTAGTTACCGGTCAATGCAAGAAGGCGAAGGTCCCAACCAAAACGACGGATATTCTCACACCGATTCGGAAGCCGATGAGTTACCTTGCGGCCCGACAATACAAGGCACCCATCCAAGATGGCGAGCAACCCGTCGCTAACCAACCAATAGCTCCACCCGAAGGTCCAAGGACAAGTTCGGACCGCCGTTTTCAAAGAAGAATGGAGCGAGAGTTGGTCATCACGAGAAATCGGCTTGCCACGGTGGAACACAAGGTGAGCACGATTGAATCCCTCCAACGGTGGTCGGGGAAGATTCTCCAAGCCATTGTGCGCCATTTGGCATGCGGCACTCCCGAGTGCGCCGAACCGGCTCCGTTGCCCGCACCGATTCTTGAGCCAGTACCCGAGCTTTTGGATGATGAGGAGGATGGTGATGCTCATGCGCAAGGTGGAGTTGGTGAGCAGCCCGACGATGGTCCCGACGTTTAAACATGTGTTTTCTATCCTTAAACTCCGTGCGAATCACATTGAGGGCAATGTGAATTTTAAGTTTGGGGGTGGTTAACTACTTGTTTTCGTTTATGTGCGCTTTATTTGTGTTTTAATTTTTTTTTAGTTTGCATGCTTTAGTTTTTGTTTTAGTTGCCGTTTAATTATTCCCGTTTTATTATTTGCTTTGAAAAAAAAAAAAAAAAAAATAAAAAAAATAAAAAAAAATTTGTTCGATGCATCGATGAACTATGATGATGGGAGATGGTCAATGTTTGATGATGAGATTACTTGTTTTATGTTGATAAGGAGTATATATTCGTTTAGCTTTCGATTCAACGGAACGTAGAAGTGAATTATTGCTAGGAATCACGCCTTATGCATTGCTTTGGTTGAATATTTTGTATTTTAAATTTGGAATTTATTTGTGCTAAATCATGCTTTGTTCGGTTTTAAATCTCACCTTAGGACATTTATGATACGAAGTGTTGGGTAGTAAGTGATTTGGGATATGATTTGGGCCTTCTTTGAACCGTTTGAGCCTTTCAAGCCTACCCTTTTTGTCGAATTATCCTTAGAACCTTGATTTGAGCCTCGGAGAAAAGGTGTGCTTTCTTTTAGCCAATATTTAGAAGGTAGAAAAGTGGAGTATTATCCCTTGGAGGTTGATCGAAAATTCTTATAAGATCTTTCTTCTTCTTCGAAAAAAAATAGATATATATATATATATATATATATATATATATATACATTTATATATATATATATATATATATCTAAATTCGATTCAAAAAAAAATTAATAAATAAATAAATAAATAAATGAAAAAAGAAAAAAGAGAAAAAGAAGAAGAAGAATAGATTAGAAGGGAGAAATAAGGACTATTTGTGAATTGGGTTGAAAACTCGATCGATTGCCTAAAAGGCAAAGGTGTTGACGTGTGAATTTTGGAGAATCGAGTTTATTAAAGTCCCTAGAGGTGAATTCATTGTTTCAAACGCCTATCTTTCAAATTTTGGCGTAATCACCTCACTTCAAGAAAAATTAGCCACACATACCCATATTACCTACCTCGGACCAAAGAGCCTAACAATTGAAAGCCACAAAGTCCCAATGATCCCAATAGCTTAATATTCAATATTAGTTGAGTAGAATAATTTGGTGAGTATTTGGAGTCAAATATATGCATGTAAGTATAAATTCTTTCTATTTTTAACTTGCAAATATTGGATACTTGAAGCAATTGTATGATTTGTGGTTTTTGGTAATAGTGAGTGACTAAGTACCGTTGAATGTTAAGCTTGCGAATACCTAGGAACTATCATCATAATTGCAAGTTCTGAAAACGCGAAGTTGACCAATCGATCTATGTAATGAGATGTATAGTCGTGGTTTGTGCTCTTAAATTGATTTTACTTGTGGACAAGCAAAAGTTCAAGTTTGGGGGTGTGTTAAGTGTATATTTATACACTTAATTATACCTTTTAATTGGAGTTGGTATGTTTTAACGATAATTGGTGCTTAAAATGGCTATTATTTGTATTTTAGGTGCAAATTAAAGAATTGGCAACTTATGGGGTGAAAACTGCAAATTTGGAGAAAAAGTGGGCCAAAAGTGAAAATATCGAAACTTGAAGAATTGAAGACCGGACGGCCGTCCGGATTTTAAAGCTTATTCTCGCACGGCCGTCCGGGTTGACGAGGTGGCGCAGTGAAGGAAGTTTAATTACACAAGGAAACCTGCCCTATTATATTTTTGCACCCTATTTAAAGGCCAAAAGCACACAATTAGGGAGATCTTTACCTTTCATCTTTTATCTTTTTACACGCGATCAAGGAGCACAAGAACAAAGACGAAGACTTGACGAATCTTCATCATAGTTCTCCTCTTTTATTTTTATTCATAGCTTTTATGTTTTTCCGTATTTTTATTATGTTTTTCGTAGAGAACATGAGTAGCTAAGTTTTTTTTCTAGGATTTTGTTGGAACCCTATGTGGTAATTCGAACCTCTTTTTCTACTTTTATGCAAGTTTAATTCTTCGATTATTTCTTCTATTTTGATCTTATTTACCGCATGAACGTAGCTAATTTATGTTGCTATTGGTTATTGTTAGAATTGATTGACAGATCGTTTTAATAATTAGAACAGGGATAGAAGAGCCTTCGAGTAGTTTTCACCGGATGATTGTGTTAATTGCATGTATTATCGTAGACATATAGATAATACCTTACGTAGCCGTTTACGAGACTTGTTATTTAATGCTTTATTCATACTAGGTTTGCATAGACATATAGTGAATCTTTTATGAATAATAGACTCATAATACATGCGACAGCTGGTTATGAGTAATTCTGTGTCTTGGGTTAATAATCGGGAATTGTAACTTGCATGATAGAAGATTAATTGGGTGAAGAATTATCGCATAGGGGGAAGATAAAATCCTAGATCTGTTTTATATTGATATTTTCTCGTGATTATTTGCGTTCTTAATTAGTTTAATTGTTTAATTGATTAATTTGACAAACTTGCGTAGGCTGGATAAAAATCGTAATTGTTAAAATTTGGTACTTAGGATTAAATAACTTGCGAATTCCCCGTGGGATCGACATCCGACTCTCACGAGTCCACTTTACTACTTGTTTGCGATACGTGCACTTGCGTGTTGGTATTAAGCACCCAACAGAAGGCTCAAAAGAGATAGGTCGTCGAATCGGCAATTTCATTTAGACAACGATCCGATGTACGAGTATGCGGAGATCTCAGTGAGTAACCTCTTTATAAGAATCACATTTTACTTCACATAAATCTTATTATACACATATATTGCTCAGATTGTTAGTAATCACATTTACCTTAACGTAGAATCTCATTCGGAATAGGTAGTGAATCCATAAACATGAACTTTAAGGTTGATTGAGAGAGGAGCTCCGTAACTTCCACTGTTTTTCAGGCTACAAAAAATTGCCAAGAAAAAAGCATGTTTGCGACATACAAACAAATATTGAGATGAAAAAAACATGTTTGCAAGCAAAAATACAAATAATCGGCCTGTAATTATTGTTAGAATAATTTGATTTGTGTTATTTCTATCATAAATGTACCTATTTATAATAAGAGGTATAGGTTTAGTCACAATCTAACTAGTGCTATTAATCTAAATATAACTATATCATAAGAGAATGCTAATTATTATAAATAATACAAATACACAAATATTAAAGAACTCAAAATTATATCCACTACATTAAATTCAAGATTAAATTAAGTTACTCAAAAGTTAATTAAAAGTACTAGAAATGTAATGCTGTAGCATTACAAAGAAAAGTTAATCATGTTTTTTCTCCTTTCCCTTTCATCTTCATTAGAATTGGTGGCAGAGGTACTCTGGAGAACACATGACCTTGATCCCTAAGATTTTTGAGCATTGCTTGCAAAGTGTTCCGACATTCAACCACATGATTCCGTTAGCCACTAAAGTTTAATTGAGAGAGGGGACGAATGACGTACTATTGTAGTAATTTAAGGGACCGAATATGTTTTTTTATGAACATAGGGATCGAATATGAATTAATGGCTAACATAAGGAACGAAAATCGTATTTTTTCCGTTTATCATTAGTAAGACTACCATTGTTATTAAAGTCAGCTTATACGGTGGTTCATTACTCCCTCATGGTAGGATCCTAACTCTCCACCCAACTACATATTCGATGCCGTTAGGTCCTCTCGACAAAGCAGGATGGTCATGAATAATTCATGTCCTGCAGGTAAAATGAAGATCAAGGTGAGTGGTCGACCTCTTCACAAGGACCGTATTATAATTTACATCTTACTTCTTTTTCACGCGCGATCACTAACGAAGCCAGGATTTTATAACTATGAGTGGTTGAATAACACTTAACCCCCTTGTGGTTTGGACATTTTGCACATGACCCCTTTATGGTATGAATTTAGGCACATAACTCTCTTGTGGTTTTGACATTTTGCACATGACCCCCTTATGGTATGAAATTAGGCACATAACCCCCTTGTGGTTTTGAAATTTTGCACATAACCCCCTTATGGTATGAAATTAGCACATAACCCCTTAAATAGGAAATTGGAAAAGACTAAATTACCCCTATCAAGTCAAAAATTCTTGTTTTAATTTAAAAATAACACAATAATATATTATATTTCTGATTTTAGAAAAAAATACATTAAGCTTTTCATTTTATAGAATAATTATTTTTAAATTAAAACAATAACTTTTGACTTGATAGGGAGAATTTAGTATTTTCCAGTTTTCTATTCAAGGGGGTTATGTGCTAATTTCATACCATAAGGGGGTCATGTGCAAAATTTCAAAACCACAAGGGGGTTATGTGCCTAATTTCATACCATAAAGGGGTCACGTGCAAACTGTCAAAACCACAAGGGGGTTATGTGCCTAAATTCATACCATAAGGGGGTCATGTGCAAAATGTCAAAACCACAAGGGAGTTAAGTGCTATTTACCCTTCAATATACACTAAGATTATTAATTTTGGGAGTCCAGGTGAAGCGCCCTTGAATTGTTTTTTAAGATTTTTCTTTTTTTGCTTTGACAAAACTAGAAGATAAGAAAAGATAATCTTTTAGGACTTTTTTTTGCATTAATTCGAACTTCGGATGGACCAAATAAATATATAGCTATAGTCGAGCATATTTTTTTTTCAATTGAGAATAGGCTTGGGTAGACTCATTTATTATTTTTCTATGTTTTCTTGAATTACAAATACTTAATTACCTTATATATAAATCTAAATTGTTAAAAATTATAAGAGCGCAATACAAATGCAATAAATTACATATACAATATGTAGTAGTAAAAAAAATTAAAATTTGAGGGTGGGCATGACCCCATCTGGCCCTACACTGCCTTCTCCACTGCGGCAAGATACCTATCGTTTTGCACTCTCACTATCTATCGTTTTGCACTCTCATTGCTTAAAAATTCAAGAAGCTATGGGAATAAAC